TGAAGAAAATTGGATGTGAAATCATCTACAATTTACTTAGTGTGTCTTGACCACGGGTCCGGCACTACAAGCCTTTGGGTTCTGAGTTCCTACAAGCTTTGGCTTAACGTTTGAGCACTGGAAAGTGGCTGGACCATCGGCTCCACTGTACTTAATGTCAATGTTTCCAATCTCAACGTTCTCACATGGATGTCCCCTGCTGCACAATAGCTTCACTGCGTCCTTGTTCCCTGATGTTCCTCTAATATTCGTGAACCTAATGTCCGCTAGCTTAATCGTCGATGGTTTCTGCGAAGAAGAACACGCTTTGCGAATCAGAATCATATGTTTATTATACATAAATTTTTGGCTAGTGCCATATAAAACGTTATAGTGGTTGAATACTATGAGGTTCTAGACCTAGGTCCGTAATTTTCTTATAAAAGACACTTACGTTCTTGTTGCATTGGTTCCAAGGACAGTACTCCTGGTCGATGAGGATTGGGTTGCTAACGTTCTTGAGGATGATATTCTCAAAATGAATACCGGAGGCTGTGGTGGCGCAAGCCGCAGATGGCCATGTCTTGATCCTGAGCCCATTGTCAGTCTCTCGGAGTGTGCAGTTCTTGACGGTAATGCCGGTGACATCTTGCTCGTGCCCGTACCTTCCGAGACTTCCAACACTGATACCGTGGCCAGGACCGCACACAACTCCCTCCACGTGAAGATTCTTCATCCCGTCTCCGACAGAGATACAATCATCTCCGGTGGAGATCATGGAGTTGAGGATCTTGATTCCATCACTTCTTCCCACATGGATACCGTCAGTGTTAGGGCTCTCTGCCGGAGCGATGACCTTGACGTTAGTAAAGGTCATGTTCTTGGCCCCGATCACGTTTACGTGGAAGTTCTTGGAATCTAGTGAGGTTATGTCTCTTATCTCAGCCTTTGTCACAAAATCAAACCTTATACTCTACAACAACAATAACAAATTAAAATAAAAAAAGCTTCAAATTAATTATGTCCTTAAAAAAAAACCAATTAATATCATGATATAAAAAAAAAACAACTTACGATGGGAAGTTTCTTGCACTCGAAAGTCTTGTGGCAGTTATTGACTCTCCAAGCTGCGTTTCCTTCACCGTCGAAGGTTCCACCTCCGTTCAACTTAAACCCATCGATTCTTGAGAAGACGACCCATCTTTCCTTCCCATGTTTGGTGGTACCATCAGCTTTGACAGTGCCTTTGAGGGTGATCTCGACCGGAGCTTTGCATGGACCCGTTAGCTCGATCTCACCAAGCTTGAACTCTCCTTTTGGGATCACCACTTGGCTCGCTGACGGAGATTGGCATGCGGATGTAAATGCTTTTAGAAGTGCCTGCATTTATATGTTGGAGCAAGTGTGCAACGAAATCCCAATAAGTACGTAAGCCAGAAGAATTGGTTACAATGTACCGATTTTTATACATTGCTTGGGGAACAAGAAAACGAAAAGCAATAGAACTAACCTGAGTGATATCAGAACCTGTAGAAGAACTAACTTTGAACACCTCGGCGTTGGCTGAAAAACTCAGCAAACATAGAACTAAAATTGTAGAAATTCCAATATATTCACCCA